CAATTGTATGTGTAACTGCCGAGAGGAAGATTAGAAGGAGTATCCTTTATGTATAAAGAGCAAAGATTCAGAATAAATTCTGTCAAAAGGTACACCAAACACAAAAGAATTCGGGTTTTTATACGTTAAGTTCAAGAAAACAGTCAAAAGGAAGGATAATGATTGGTTAAGAGCCTCTTTATGATCTTGCGCGTCATACTAGTGCAAACTTAGGTTATTATGATGAATGACTGTCAGGTTACATCTTGTTATCATAAAGAGACAATATGCCCATAAAGGACAGTATGCAATACTAGGAACTCTGGTATCATAAAGAGATAACATCCAGGGAAGGATCACTTTATGTATCTCTACCATCAGGCAGGGGCACCAAAAGGAAGGGAAAATTACAGGCTAATTCCTCTGTCCCTTGGGAAGTTTCAGATATGGGTTACCACATCCTGCCCTAAAGAAAGAAGGGTCACTAAGATTATAAGACCCATTATAAGCTACACCCGGGAAGGATTAACTGTAGAGTCTTGATTTCTCATGAGAATCGCACATACAGTATTTCTCCATTTCGTGCCCCTCAGTTCCAGGAGATCAGCTGAAAAGAAGAGTCCCACAAGTCAATTGGTCAAGGGGGGCACCAGAGATAGTGTGGAGTGGGGCTGAGAGCAGCTTTGGTCAAGTCATGCAGAGATAGAGAGACTGCAACAAAACAGATTACAGAATTTTGCCCATCATGCTGATTTAAGATTTTTGGGGAAAAGAGTAAGTTTTTAAAACAAATGTTACAAGAAGAAAAAGAAAGAGAAAATTGCCCAATTACTTTAAAAAGCACAATGACTCAATTCTCTACAATAGGCTGCTTAAGAAAACAGGACCAGGAGACAATAAAAATGACTATCCTAACAGTGAATAGTAACATGCCATTTGTTAGTATATAAATCTATTTTTAAGTATCCCAGTGTGATTTGTTTATATTTTGATATATTTATTTTATTTAACCGATAAATTCAATTCAATGAAATAATGGTTATCCTGATTTTAACCTAACCTTATTGGGAAGCAAGTTTCCAGAAGTTCAAATGATTGGAACCAATATTGGAGAAGTAACGCTTTACGTTTCTAATACAATAGAGTGGGATTCCTTATAGGGCAATCCTATTAACCTTTACATTAATTGATTGTGTGCCATCAAGTCATTGTTGATTCTTAGCGACCACATAGATAGATTTTTTTCATGATGATCTGTCCCTTACCTAATCTCTCAGGTCTTCCAATATTTATGTAAATAACTAAAAAATAAATAAAATAAATTTCATTGTAGGGTAACTGTATTTCAAATTTTGCAAAATAGATTATTATGAAAAGGAGATTGTACAATGGATATATTTTATTCATTTATTTATTTTTCATTCTTTACCACAGTGAAATTGCAAATGGCTCATTAAATCAATTACAGGTAGTCCTCGCTTAACAACCATTCGTTCAGTGATCATTTGAAGTTACGATGGCGCTGAATGAATGGTTATAACTGGTCCTCAAAGTTATGGCTATTGCAGTGCCCCTGTGGTCACATGATCAAAATTTGGGCACTTGGCAGCCTGCCTACATTTACAACCATAAACATGTACTTCAACTCCCCCCCATCTCCCCCCATCTCTGCCCTTTTGGCTACCCTGCACTCCGCCCTGTACCCCTGCCACCCTGAACTCCACTGCCCCTGCTGTCTTCCACTGCTCCCAGCTGATCTTTATCATCTTCTTCCTCCCGCTCCTGATAAGATGCACCTGGCTGAGGTAGCTGCTGGCCCTTTGCAAGGCCTTCTCAAGGCCTCCACGCAGCCACATGTGGCATTACAGAGGCCTCACATGGTATCACAAAGGCCTCATGAAGGGCCAGCAACTGCCTTGGCCTGGTGCATCTTCTCAGCAGTTGGAAGAAGACAGCAAAGGGCAGCAGCAGAGTGTGGCGCCAAAGGGCAGAGATGCAGGGAGATAGGCGGGTGGGGGAGTTGAAGCGGAGAAAAGCACAGCAGGCAGGAGAAGTGTGAGGTCCTTGCCTAATGACCATGTGATCCTGGCCTAATGACCACAATCTGGACTGATGTCACTAAGCAGTGTGGTCACATGATGTTTCTCCTAACAACTGCTTTGCTTAGCGATGGAAATTCTGGTCCCAATTAGGGTTGTTAAGCGAGGACTACCTGCATGGTTCCTTTAGTTGCTCCAGCTACAGTTGGATGAACATGAAGCAGTATCTCACTTGGTTTCTGCCACTAAAGCACTATTTGAGGTAAAATAAGTCTGCACAAGATAAGTTTGTGTTTGCTCTACAAAATCACAAGACTCTACATATTATCAGTTTTTGTTGTATAATCTTGTGTTTATTGTATAATAGGAGTACCGATACGGGCTGCAGGTTTCTTTGATTATCACCGCCTTTGGGCTCATTTTGCCAATGTCATTTGCCTTTGAAATCTTGGCAAGTCCTTGGGTCAACTGACACTAAATGGAGGCTGTTTTTCCCAACTATGAAAGTTGCTAGACATATCTGGTTATTAATAGAGAAGTGGTTAAATTTTGACTTGGAATTGCAAGAGAAAATGACATCATTCTAATTTGAAAATAGAAGGAAAATTTTTTTTGGAAGTCCTGGACAAGGGATTAACACTGTGAACCAATTGATTAGTAATGGCTGTTTTAAAGATTTTGAGAGGTTACGTTTTGAACATAACTTACATGAATCATCTGCTTGGCAGTATTACAGTTAAAACATATATCATAAAACAATCTGGGCCAGGTATTTTAGAAGCTATTTGATGTTTAAGAAATGCTGTATTTGAAGTAAAAGCAATAACCTAATTTTACACAAAACTAAAAAAAAAACAGGAAATAGGTTTATATTGGTAATAATATATGTGGTATAAGGAATTGGAATATCCAATTTTGGAATACCAAATGAGATCAAGTTTTAAGAAATACAAATTATACTTTTTATGACCTAGGAATGAAATTAATTAATCAGAAAATCATGGACTACTCAAAGAAGCTTTAAAGAAGGTTGGATATTGGATTGCTTATGTTGGCCTTACAAAAAATTTGAGGACTCTCTGACTTGAATGATTTGATCACATTTGCTATTGGCTCTTTTTTGGTTTCAAGTGATTACATAAGTTAATACAACTCTGGAGAAAAATACAGTACAGTAGTTAAAAATATAAATGTACTGCTGAATTATATTTCAAAAATATGGAATTTGACATTTTATGGAGACCTCTGGCTTTATTGAGACTGTTACTCAGCAAAGATAATTGTACGTGGATATTTACACTCCTTAGGTTAAAGAATGGATTCAAGAGATGTATTCTTTCTTGACTTTTGAAATTACTTTATTTTGTAATAATGGGAAGATGGTGCAGTGTATGATCTAGATTTAATATGTTAAAAGACTGAACTATTTCTATACTGATATTGTATGGATCTTTTTTCCTCAGTTTTAGTTCATTTTAATCACTATCATGTATAACTTTCCTTTATGATTCTATTAATCACTGTTGCATTTTTATTTTTATTACTATATTTTGGTTTTATTATTTTTATTATAATTTTCCAAATTAAAAAGGGAAAACATTGGCTGAAAAGAATCTGATGACCAATAGATGGCAGCAGAGATAATTTTCTATATCTTCTTGCTACTTGCTATCTGAATTTTTGCGACTCAGATCTATGAGTATCAGAAGTTATCTATGACTAAATCAGTGTTTGCTATATACAGTCACATCACTCCATGCTAAAACCAGCCTTTCTGAAATGACATCTCCTGAAATATCTGCTGCTTTAAGTCTCTGCTTCCTAAAATTATAAGATTCTCTTACTAAATGAGCATTTGCTATATGAAATCATACGTTGCTGCCACTAAACCACTATTTACACCTGTCACTTAAAACAGTGTTTACTGTATTAAAGCATTAAACTAAGGTTTGATATATGAAATTGAAAGTCTTCTATTTAAATTTAAATCACAGGTCTTTGCGAACTAAACCAGTATTGGCATAAAATCTGGAAGCTCAACGAGTTTTTCTTACATAGAACTAAATTAGCGTTTAATGCACCAAATCACAGAACTCTTAAAACATCCCCTTCTCGTCATCGGTTGCGCTTTGTATACCCAGACAGGAAAAACCTTCTGAACCACACCCACTAGCTAGTGCTTGGCGGCCTCGCCCCCTTTCCCATATACACCAATCGGGGAGTCAGAGGAATGAGGCGTCTATCCCAGAAACTGCCGCTGGGAAGCACCGCCTCTTTTTCGCCTGAGTGACGCAAGCGAAGGCGCCGCGGCTCCGTTTGGTTTCCGACGCTGCTCAAGATCTTACACCTGTTGGGATATTTTTTTACCAGTCTAGGACGGAGCTGAACCGTGCGAAAACGGGACGTGTTCCGGAAAATACAGATTTATGGTAACTCATGTTTTTACGCGTAGCGTGAACGATAAATAAATAATAATAACGTAGATAAATTTAGTGATGTTGCAAAATTCAGCAAAGGTGTGTAGTTTTTGTAACGTATATGGCGTATGCTGCACTTAGCAGTTGTGGACAACTTTGGAAACTGCTTCAGTTGTATGTATTGCCGTCCCGTAATGGCGATAGCTCCATTTTCTATCGAAAATTTCAGACTAGGTGGGCATCCACTTCTGATGGATAGAACCAGACTAACTCTCTGCTTTCGCACAGAGCTGGCACCAGTGAAACAAGCGTTGTGAAAAAGTCAGACATAGGGTAGAGCCCACTGGGAGACCTATAATTTGGGGTCAGCCTATCTAAAAGATCATGGCCTCCTTTCAAGCCTCCCTGGGTAGAAAGATCTTTGGTAAAGGTTCTGAATATATTCCCATCACTTCAGAAGTATATCTGGTAATGCAAGTGTGGGCCTGCTCAGGAGCAGTTCCAGGGCATTGGAACCCCCTGTCAAACATGGGCATCTGTGGGAGGTGCAGGGTGGCCAAAGGCACTAAACAAACAACATGACACAAATAAGTGCAACTTACATACTTCCATCAGACTCAAGGACTCAAGTACCTAAGGACAGAATTTGTATCATGATGTCATCACGTGTATGAAATCATATTGATTTTATCTCAGTTTGCTGCAAATAGCTATGCTGTCAAGCTTGCTCCCTCTCTGTCAACGTCAGGAAAAATATTTTTTATTTAAGGAAGTCTTTACTATATAAACGACTTTTCAGCTGGCAAAATCAGTAGTTTTATGACTTGTTTTGTTTTAATGTATATTTTTGAATTGCTTGTTAGCTGCCTATTTATGGAAAGGTGGTATATAATATTGAGAGAGATATCATGCTGTTCCCTTTCTAGGTAAGTAATGTCATGCAAAGTGCAGAAAAGGAGTAAGAAATAGTGCCCCAAAGAAAGTAAAAGCATGAGATAAAAAAAGAAGAGGAAACATAGCTGAAACTAGTTTACATAATCATTCACTATACTTTCAAACTTTGCTATCCCTCCAAACCATTTCTTGTTTCTATCATGTATACCTTTATACATTGCTTTTTCTCATTTAAATTTCTTAATTCTCTTGTTTTGAGGAACTTATCAACTCCACCTAATCACAACATTCTCAGTCTTCCCCTTCCTCTTGACACATTCACTCTTTATATATTTGTTTTGCAAGTTGATCTTCATTCTCTTTATATAGTCAGACCACCTCAAATGACCTCTTTCATTCTCTCATTTTGTATTCAGTCCACATTCATTCATCAGCCATTCAGTTTTGAGTCCTATCTCTTCTTGTTTTAACATGCACATTTAAGTATCCTGTTTTCAGTGCATTCAGTGATGCTTCTCCTGACATACCCTCTATATAACAAAGTGGCCAGAAACATACTTTTATACACAGCCATTTTTGCTTTGTTTGACAACCAGTCATTCCTTTCAACAGGCTGCATATTATTCACTCCCCTATCTGGATTTGCATGTTTTAACATTTCTTT